TTGCAAAAATATATCAATCAATGGATAATACAGTAATTATCGTTCTGATTGATTTACCTTTGTGTCAAATACCCTAAGTAAATAACACTGACAACAAAATCATAACATAGTATAAAATAAAGTCGCTGTCGCTGTCTGTCCGTCCCTATATATGCTTAAATCTTTAAAACTACGCAACGGATTTTGAAGCAGTTTTTTTTAATAGAGTTATTCAAGAGGAAGTTTATATATATAATACATGTACACCCTCGCTCGCGAGTAGCTAGTAATATTATAAAGAGGAAGGATTTGATTTTTTATTTGTAACTGACTGACCCGTGCAAATTCCTCTGCATCACACATACTTGACATTTATCATAATATTTTGTCCAATTCACATAGCCTATATGTTATTCTGATATATAAGCTACTAGCTACTCGCCCCGGCTTCGTCCGGGTGTACATGTATTACATATATAAACCTCTTCTAGAATCACTTTATCTATTAAAAAAAACCGCTTCAAAATCCGTTGCATAGTTTTAAAGATTTAAGCATACATAGAGACTGACAGACAGCGACAGCGACTTTATTTTATAGTTTATATATAATATTTATTACTGTATAGTTTATTTTATTAAAACCCGTTTAGTAGTTTTTGAGTGAAAGAGTAACAAACATCCATTGATCTATCCAAAGATCGTTAAAGTTTGTGACTATGGGACTCATAAACTTTCGCGTTTATAATATTAGCACAGATAACATAATATTACATAATATTAGTAAGAACTAAGATATATAAACTCGTGTATGTGTAGGTTTTAAGGGTGAGCATAATAAATCTATGTAGGTCGCATTGCTACAGGTGCTACAGGCACCTGACAATAGCCCAAACAACCCAATAAAAAATATGTGTAGTTTGGATATAAGATGAAATAAATTCGTTTTATAACTATCTAAGAAAATTTAATGAAGTTAGATTTTAGTTTTGTGCGAGAAATTAATTTGAGTTCGTTCGGAAATCATTCCGTGCGACCGTACAATCATCACACAGTTTTCTGCACGAATCGAAAACATTTTTAGTTCATATGCCCGTACGAACAGTTACAAAAATATTATTCTACAGTTTTAAAAACAATTAATTATCTATAAACTGTTATTGCCATGCACACGCCGCATGCACAAAATATGTTATTAATATAAAACATGTTATTAATAACTATAGTATAGTTATAATTGCCCCCATACGACCCTCCACTAATAAATACTATCATTTAATAACAATCTTGTTATTTAAAAATAACACTAAAAATGTAAACGTCAAGACTTAAGAATTTTGATTTTATTCTACAAATACTCGTCAATTTGTTATTGCAAAATATATCTATAGGTACTAATATTATAAAGCTGAAGAGTTTGTTTGAACGCGCTAATCTCAGGAACTACTGGTTCATATTAAAAAAATATTTTTGTGTTGGAAAGTCCATTTGTCGAGAAAGGCTTTAAACTTTAAGCTGTATAACATTACGCTACAACCAGTAGAAGCGAAGCATCAGTAAAAATGTTTGCAACATTTTTAAACGGGAGAAATAATTCATATTTGAGGGCTTCCGTTGCATGCGCTGGGAAAACGGGTCAAGTTATCCCAAGCGAACGAAGTCGCAAACACAGCTAGTTTAGTTATAAAATTATTGCTCAATTACTGAGGTACTTTTTTATACATGAATGGCAAGCAAGCTCACGGTTCACCTTAAGGCAATATAACCGTCGCTTAAATACATAAACTACACGGCTATCACGTTATCACGCGACACCCATGATACTACTCATGCGTATCCATTTCAGATGACATGCAGTAACATCACATCCCATCTTTATGCGGTTCACCCTGGACACCGTCGTGTTTAATTTTTGTCACGTTGGGCTAACTGACCTGACCTCTTGTTCATCTTATCATCTTCCTCTGATGCCCCGCCAGCGTAAGCCGTTAGCGCAGGCCCGGGCACCATTCCATTATCATCATTTAACAAAAAAATGTCTTAATTGGAAGTGACATCTCTGATGTTTCAGGTGTTTACAAGCTAATATAACCATTTACCATCAGATGCACCCTATGATAATTTTTGGTGGTGGTCATTCTGGTATAAAAAAAATACAGTTTTGTAGGTATATCTGGACAGGGAGAGAAACACGAGCTTTGAAGGTGAGTCTTGGCGTACGTCGGTAAGGAGCCCCTTAAACCTATGCCCGGGTTATAAGTGCCTGGAAATGGGAGGAGTTTCTCTCTCTGCCACACGATGGACCCGGCACTCACACGGTGAAACATGAAAGCTAAGTGCTAAGTTCGTCTCTTATTTAAATTCCTGTACATAGTTACAAAATACTGTGCTAATTTAAACGTAAATTTAAAAAATACTATAATTTAACAATGGTCGAAAAATAATTTTCCTTACATAGATGTTTTGATAACATTCGATTTCTACATATATAGGTGATCGTTACATTTGATAATTTGAAAGTCAATGCCAAGGTTATCAGGAAGGTCACTCAGTTCAGTAATAACTGGAGGGATGTCCTACAAATGTCAGATATCGACAAATAATATTTATTACAATATATAGGTCAGTTCTTACTTGAATTGAATAGAATAGAAAATAATTTATTCAAATTAACTTACATTGAAACACTTGTGAATAGTCATCATATATTTTTTTTATCTACCGCTCACTCGAAAAGCTGTATCACAAGAAGAACGAGCAAGAAACTTGCACGTTGCTCTTTGAAATAATTTTGTTGTAACTTTACATTTTTAAGTCAAAAAGTCGTTGTATATCTATGTAAGTTATAGAGTACCGGAACAAACTTGTGTCTGAAATCGAAACTTCACTCCATAAAATTTCGGTTTGGGGTCTGAAAAATTGTGTTCAATTCAACCCCAAGAATACACAAGTTTGCGCGTTTACCGCTAAATAGATTCCATTTATTGTATCTCCTGAGATACTATCTTTGATGTGAAGCCAAATCTCGAGGTCCTTGGCGTTGATATATCCAGTGACGTTCAGTTTTGCGGTCATTTGGAGGACAAGGCTAATAACAGTAGAGTGAGACGGTATTTCACGGCGGCCCATCGCTTGCAATTATACAAGGCGCAGATCCGGCCGCATATGGAATACTGTTCTCATCTCTGGGCGGGTGCACCACGATACCAGCTACTTCCATTTGACCGCATTCAGAACCGAGCAGCCAGAATCATTGGTAATCAACGTCTATGTGACAGACTCGACCCATTGGCTTTGCGGCGAGATATTGCATCTCTGTGCATTTTCTACCGCATATATCACGGGGAGTGTTCTGAGGAATTGTTCGGATTAATACCAGCTGCTGTGTTTCACCACCGTACCACCCGCCAGAAACTGAAATACCATCCTGATCATCTGGATGAATGGCGGTCTTCCACAGTACGGTTTTCTAGAAACTTTTTGCCTCGCACAACCACATTGTGGAATCACTTTCCAGCAATGGTATTTCCGAACCGATACGATATTGAAACCTTCAAGAAAAGAGCTTATTCCTTTTTAAAAGGCCGACAACGTACTTGCAATTTCCCTGGTGTTGTAGGTGCTCATGGGCGGCGGTAATCACTTACCATCAGGTGAGCCGCATGCACAGAAAATATCTCTTATAAATATACTAATATTAATATGAATGAAAAAGCCAATAATTCTCTGGTCTATGGTTGATTGGGAGAAAATACAAGTCAAATCCGCCGTCTGCACCTTTGTGTAAATGACCCTCGCAACTGCGTCTACGTCACATTTCCCGTTTTGGTATATTGTGATTACAGCTCCGCTCCTATTGGTCATAGCGTGATCTTATAGCCTTCCTCGTTAAATGAGCTATCTAACACAAAAGGAATATATAGGAGCCCCTTAGTACCCACAACAGAAGCTCCTAGCGTCCTCATGTTGGGACTAGATGGCGCTGTCTGAATGTTCCTGAGATATTATTGTGGGTAGTATACGTATTATTTATTTACTTTTTATTGCACAAGAAATATATTACAAAGAACATAAATAGTTAGACTATGTGGAGGGTAGTACAATTATACGATTAAAGAAGTTTCTATCTTGACCTCTTGTTTACTTTTCGCAACTGATTATTGTAAACTTTCAGAAATGATACGTCGATGCAGCAGTACTTTTATTTTATTCCTTTTTCAAATTACACTCCACATAAATTGCGTAGCTGTATTCGACGTCTGGTCCTCTCGGTTGCCTCGAACAGAAAGGAGGCCGCTAGGTTTTTTTTTCGGACTACTCTAATGCTGTTGGCTGCAGCTGGCCTTTACAGCTTCACTGGACGATAGGGGGCGAGTGCAGATGACACTCCAAACCAAAGGAAGGACTTATGGAGTGGCTGAAGGCCAACTCCCGCCTGACGGATACGACTTTAGTCTGAGGGCGCCGCATGGGTTTGGAACCTCAGCTCAGTCCGTCGTAATTTCGATCCCCGTTTGAACTGGACGGGGGATCGATCGGAGGGAAACGCCACTTTCTCCTTCCCATTTAAATACTCTATGCGGATTAGTGGCGGCAGTACGGTGGCGCCCCGGTTAATTAGTGACATTACAAATTAGTCAAATGATTCACAATTTGTATATTGAAGCTCACACCATGGTTCTAAATTTGAAATGTAAGTAACAAATTAGTCAACTGAGTATGGTTCTAAATTTGAAATGTAAGTAACAAATTAGTCAACTGAGTATGGTTCTAAATTTGAAATGTAAGTAACAAATTAGTCCACTGAGTATGATTCTAAATTTGAAATGTAAGTAACAAATTAGTCAACTGAGTATGGTTCTAAATTTGAAATGTAAGTAACAAATTAGTCAACTGAGTGACTTTATGTATTGAAGCTAACGTGATCGATTAATTCGGTTCAGTTAAGATTACTTTGTATAAGAATTATCAAAATAGATTTAGTTTAAATCGAGATCAACACAAAATAAAACAAATATCACAGCAATTCTATATTATCATTAACTAATAAAATAACAATTATTATATACATATATTTTTTTAATTTTCAATTTAATTTCCAAATTCTGTTAGTACCAGTAGGACTTGGCCGGCACTCTGTCTTCTTTAATGCCCATCGATTCCATGATATCCATTTCAAAAGTTCGCAATTTAGCCTCGAACGTTATCTGTGAAAAAAAAAACATTGTTATAAACTTTTTTCACGATTTTTTACATTGCTCACATTATATAAAGCTCATTAACAATATTATAATGGTAAATATTTTGTTTATAATAATAATAATCGCAGGACAATTCACACTGTGCACTCTAGACCCATGTTAAGCTAGCTAAAGCTTGTGTTATGGGCAATAGACAACTGATACAACTACATAGTTTTTTTTTTAAATATATAATCGTTTGTATCGGTCTGTCTTTTCTATGTATAATATGTATATATTGCGGTGTGCTAAACAGCTAGACCACCGAGGCCGTCAATATATAATAATAATGAAATTGAAAAGCCGTCACGTCACGTTTAAAAAAAAAGTTAAAATTACAATAATGAAATAATATTGCCGTCTACTTTTAATATAGCGACATCTAGTATGTGGTTCGTGTACTTATTCTACGTATATATATTGTGATGAGGTGGCGCTGCATTATATATTATTTATTGTAGTATGTAGGTAGTGAGTATACCAGTAAAATGATTGCACTATTTATTAGACATTATTAAGTTTATTGGTAGTGTGCTACATGGTTTATTAACAACGCGTCCAGTCGACGCGGAGTCGGAACGTAGACTGATTTTACACTTAACTTAAATCTGTGTTAGTGGAGACGTAAACTAATGAAAGAGTCTCAAGTGTCGACAGAAATATTACAAGTGTAGGCACAATAACAAACTCATGCACATTTACTGTTTCAAATTACAAGTAGCACAAAATGTATTTATTAAAACGTGAAAAAACCAGCATAGGATGTGAAAATAAAACGTACAATAGTAATAATAACTGTCGCATAACTAGAAATTTCCTGACTTCCTCAATAATATCTTCACATAGCGTAACCTTTCCAACACTTGTCTAAGGCCTCTATCCTATCGTATCAGCCAATTTAAAATAAGGCAATACTTGGGTAAGTATTGCCTTATTTTAAAGTGATAGAATAGGATAGGATACGATAGGACAGGACAGGACAGTACAGAACAGAATAGAAAATCATTTATTCAAATAAACTTCATTTATAAGCACTTTTGAATAGTCACAATTTTTTTGTGTCACAATTTTTTTAAATCTACCGTCCATCACCGATAAAATAAAAGAAAAAAAAATAATAATAACAAATCTATCACCCCTTCAAAGGAAGATATATATAAAATAAATGTATAAGTAATAACCATATTTATGTGTCTCAAGTACAGATACAGATACAGATGCATCAATATTCATTACGTTTGATGATGATGATATCAAACGTAATTAATATTGATGCATCGAAACAAAACGGTTTGTAAACTCTGAGAGTGCAGTGAATCCAGAGTGGATTGACTGCACTCTGTTATTCTGTTATAACCTTTAGCGTATATATCGAAGAAAACCTATTTAAGTAATACAAAGAAAATATTTCAATATTTCAATCAGTTGAATAGTATCTTTAGCGCTCTGCTTAGTATGGTACTAGATGGCGCTCTGTGAATTGTCCAGAATAATGAATATTTGAAAAAAGAATATAGTTATGTTTATTTTAGTACACAATGAAATAAAATGTCAGAATGTATTAGACACTGAATTTAATAGTGATACCGCGGAATGTTCGAGAAGAAGCGAAAAAATTTAGAAAAAGTAATACAAATCAAGACCAATGTTCCATGTGTGACATTCCATATTTAAATTTTATAATTTTATTTTTAAATGCATTATTTGGCTATTTGCGATCGCAAACAACTATTATTTATTATTAATATAATTAAATAAATACCTTAGTAACAACATCAGCTGATGTATCCTTGTCAGGATTGGCTATATACAGATCTTTACTCTTGTAGTCTATGGTCTCTTCAGCCGATTTCGGTACTGGGATGATGCGACTACTGGCCAGAGACACACGGACCTGGCAACACATAATTGCAATACAACAAATAATAAGTTTTTATGAAAAAGGATACATATAAAGTGATACCTACAAACTCTAACGCTATTGAGCACTTCAATATACTTAACGAATTTATATATTTTTTTTTAATTCCGCTAAAATTTACATGGATGATCACAAATATTCAATGCGAAAACTTGACTACCGTTACGGCCTTCTCTAATGGTGATCAAATTCCGACCGTTATTGAGTCTACACACATATTGCGACACGTGTTTCGCCTCTGAACATCTCTGAGGCATCATCAGGCGTTGAATAGAGTTCGGATATAGCTTGGAAGCCTAGTGTTGACTGTTCGGCGACCAAACCGCGACTGACGTCTTTTTTTTTCGGACTACTCTAATGATGTAGGCCGTAGCTGACAACTACAGCTTCACCGGACAAACCCACGGAAAGACATATGGAGCGGCGGAAGGCCAACGGACGTATACGACTGAGTAGAGACTGAGGGCACCGCTATGGGTTCGAACCTCGGCTCAGCGGGGGTAGGGGATTGTTAGTAATGAGGACTCATAATACCATTACTAGCAATGCACCCTGTCAGGTTGACCTCCACGCGGTTCCCCCTGGAAACAATCGCGATAAATTCCTGGTAAATTTGTCACGATTGGCTAACTGACCTGACCTCATGTTCATCTTATCATCCTTCACTGGTGCCCCGCCAGCGTAAACCGTAAGCGCAGGCGGGTGCACTATTCCATTATCAAAAATAAAAAAAAAAACCTCGGCTCAGCCCATCTAATCTAATTCAAACGTGAATCGAAATTACAACCCCGTTTGAATTAGACGTGGGAGCGATCGGACCGCGGTGACATTGTCTGTCGCGCGGCAATATTTATACCCGATGTACCTACAGAAAGGGAGCGTGGCTTGTGCTCTATCCAATGCCTGATGATGCTTCGTTCAAAGGCGAAACCTGTGTCGCGATATGGGTGTAGATTCAATAACGTCGGAATTTGGACAAGCTCGTATTATTATATTGGAGTGGTTTGTCACAATTTGTGTATTTTCAAATAATAGATTTAAGTTATAAGAAATTATAGAATAAGCATAAAGTAAACTGTTTTAAATTAAATTTAAGATCGCTTTATACTATATATTTCTTTATCAGTCCATTTGTTTTTTATAATGCTAAATATCAGATAATTACAATTTTTAAGTTTATATTTCAAATTTTATATTTTTCATGTATCGGTCCGGTGTGAGTGCAAGCCATTTCTATTCATTGAACACAATATATTTTCCAGCGTCTATTTTATAGTCGTTGTAATCTTCATAATAATATAAAAGCCAAAATTTGATTTTTATATATTTTTTTTTATTATTCTTTTTTATTATTTCCTTGTCTTTACCCACCTGAAATTTGTGTGATCTTTTGTTAAGTTCTATTAAATGTTTAATTATATAAGTACTTCAGAATGAGAATAAATCTTAATCTTCATAATAATATAAATGCGAAAGTTTGTGAGTATGGATGTTTGTTACTCTTTCACACCAAAACTACTGAACGGATTTTCAAATTCAAATTAAAAAATCATTTATTCATGTAGGACATTTCAGCCGCTTATAAACATAATTTTTTTTATATTAATTTTTTCCCCTACCATCCAGTTCAGTATATGGAATCTATATTATAGAACCCATCATTTGGATAAAACTTTACAGCTTATGCATCAGAATAACACATAGGCTATATTTTTTATTGAAATTTAACACAAGTGAAACCGCTGGCACAGCTAGTAATTCTATACTTTCACATTATTTATGCTTATTTATATTTACTTTCAGTATTTGTAGGGAAAGATAACCATAAGTTATGCACCTTGAAAGCCTAAATTCACCTTTGGAAATTTGAACTAAATTTTTCTAGGTTCGAAGCCTGAATTCACTAACCTTCTCACCCTCTTCCGTGTATCTCCACTCAATTTCAGTGGGCTTCAAATTCTCCGGGTCTACGAGCTTCACATCAGTTGTGACGAGGAGTGGCGCCTCCGACTGGACTGTCACACCTGGGAAATCCTTGTCTTTACCCACCTGAAATTTGTGTGATCTTTTGTTAAGTTCTATTAAATGTTTAATTATATATTTAAGTACTTCAGAATGAGAATAAATCTTAATCTTCATAATAAATGCGAAAGTTTGTGAGTATGGAAGTTTGTTACTCTTTCACGCAAAACTACTGAACGGATTTTTATGAAACTTTAGTAACATGCATAAGAATAACACAGAAATTATAGCGAAGACCAAAGTAAAGTGGATTAAAATCTTTCCCTTTGAGAACTATAATGCTACAGACAAGCACATAGATAGATGTTGAATTTTTTTTACTCTTTTAAGTTGTTTGGGCTATTGTCAGGTACTTGGACCTGTAGCATTGCTACCTACTTAATTATGTGAAACTCATAACAACACTTTTTTTACAGAGGTTAAAAATTACACCAACATAATACTAACAACTCTGAGATGGGTGTTGAGCCCCTCAACAAATACCCAATTGCGTTCTTGAATCACTTGGGTAACAATGCCTTGCTTTCCTTTGTCTTTACCGACCATAACTTCAACTCTATCGCCCCTGAAAATAAAGTTAATTCTTGTTGTAAATAAGTCTATTCAATAGAAATTACAGAAAGTATAAACAAGTATTTTATATCTAAAACATATAAAATATATCATAAACATTATCCTACACTATCATATACAAGATATCGTTGAGATATATTGTATGTATTCATATTATATTCATTGGCAATATGGCCAACACTAGGCATATATACCACAATACCTATATAAGTTGCTTGGTGGATGAAGTAGGTGAGACAAAGATATAGCTATCTAGACTAAGACACAGCCATAAATATCCATGGTGTTGCTGTACAAAGAGTATGGTATACCTATACTTGTAATATTTCTATCAACACTCTGCACACTCCCCTTAATTTACCTCTCCAAATAACACAGATTACAGTTTGTAAACTAGTCCGCATCTCCGCGTCGGCAGCATCAGCTCACTACCAAATATTTTTTTATTATAGCTTTAACTTCCACATAATATTTTTTAAACATTATGCTTTTGGTTTATTTTTATTATTTTTTTCTTATTATGTGGCCCTCCTCTGGTAAAAACGTCCTCCATCTTCCGCCATCCCTCTCTCTCCATGGCAATTCACATAAAACCTATTCCTACTATGTTTTTATGTCATCTGGCCATCTTCTGCCATACAAAATGGCTGGATTTGACAAGCAAAAGAAAAGTATCTTTTGTCTGTCGGGTCCAGCCATTTTGTCATTACATTAGTCCATCTCCTGTCTTTGTATTGCACCAAGTTCCCCGCCCAAATAAACTTAACAATGCAAAACAAATAGTACAATTATTACACCCGTATACTCACTACCTACATACAAATTCAAATTCAAATTCAAAATATCTTTATTCATGTAGGTCTATTGCAGACTCTTATGACATGTCAAATCTACCGTCAGTTCGGAGTGATATCGAGATGAGAAGAACTGACAAGAAACTCATATACATAAACAATATATTATGTAGCGACCTCATCACATCATATATAACGCTACAGTGGTGAGATGATAACCACCGCGCTACCATAACTTCATCAGGGTAGCTAACAAATCGTCTTCTATTCCAATTTAAAACAGAAATAATAGTATTAATAGTGGACCTTCTACATGATACCAATTAATTATACTTTATAGTTAAATTAATAATAAAATTATTATTACTTGAAAAAACTCCACTCTCCAACGGGCTCCAAGAATACTTTTTTTCTCAACACACCAGTCTCATTTTGTTGTCTGAACTGAGCAGTCCACGGTCTGTTTGTGGTAAAACGGAACTTCTTACGTGTTACCTGGGCTTTAGGATACTGTGGATAACCAGTTGGATTCTTCCAATATACCTGAAAAGGAATACAAACAAAATTTGAGGTTATTTCAATCAAAGAGTAATATAATAACAATAAATTATGTACCGTACCTGTTCATAGCTTCTTTTTATGTACGATTCAGGAAGGTTTGAATATTTAACAGTGAGATCACCCACTTTCTTCGATAAAAAACCAAATATTCGCATTTTATATTTTGATTATTGAGTAACAAAAATTTGTATAAACTTTTTTTTTTATTTATAATCTATGTTTAAAAAAAAACTGTATGCCGTAGACCACAGACCATAGTAAGTAGCTGTCATCTGTGGTATCGATTTGAAAGTTTCCCCACTAATTTAGGCCCATTTTTTATAATTTGTATATATACATTTAAATTACGAGTTTATGGCTTTTTTTGGCATGTTATGTAGACCTATAAAAAAAATATACAAGTCTGCGAGTCAAAACAAACAAGTTCTATAGAAAAGGCAAGTCAATAAATTATCAGTGGAAATAATAATAATAACTATCCAAGCACTAATAACATAGAAGTAAAAAAAACAAGAATACAGTATTGGGAAATTTAACTATATGGATTTGTCTTCAAAATCTGAGTTTTGGAAGGATTTTTGTTAAAATTTTAGCGCAATAACCAAATGGTGAACTGGCAAGACATGTCTGTCTGTGGTACGAAATAGATAAAGGAACTAACTTATACAGCTTATTGTTCATTAAGACCGAATAGACACTCATCAAGAAATTTAAATGATTTTTAATTCGAACGTAGAATTCATCATATATCACATATCTCTTTATGTCTTATTTAGCCATGTATGTCACTCATGCCTTTTTAAAGAAAGAGGATGGGGCTGTGATATTGAAATTGTATATTTAATCTTAGATTTATTTATGTGTTTCTTCTTTTTTTATATACTCTGCTTTTTTTGTAATTCATACTGTGTGTTTATCTAAATATAGTAAATATCTGTCTATCTCTCTACTTTGTAATACTAGGTATATTAATTATTTTCAATTAGAAGTACCTTTAAATTCTATTTTGAAATGGCAATATTTCACTTTTATACAAATGGTAACCCTGAAAACTTGTAATGTTTCCAGCTTAGGAATTTTCACCCTTAAACGAGGTGAATATATTCTTGATGTGCAAGATTTCAATTTTAATATATTCATCTATTTTATTTTTAATTTACCAATCAATCAATCAAAATTATTATATTGTTTTTATATTGAGTCAGTTTTAGACTAAAATATTTGATAGAAACTATTGAAACAAATGAAAAAAAATTAAATATATGGAAAGTGGTCTCAGTACCCATATCAAATATTAAATTTTTATCAAAATTTGATAAAAAATTAAATGTTACTTAATTTTTCAAATGGATTTCTACAACGTTTGGTGCAAAAGTATACCATGATACTAAGTCACACTATTATATTTTTTTACAACAGTAAAGAATGCAACAGCCTTGATAATATGCATCATATAAATAAAATCCTATTCTGTGTCTTGAAGAACTCCCCAAATTAGAATGATTATTTTGAGACGTTGTTTAAATATACTAAAGTGTTGGAAACCCCTAAAAAAATAAACTTTTTAGTTCCTCAAACTTTACCACTTTTATCCAAATTACCATATTATATCCGTCAAATATGATTTGTAAGTATAATATTAGTTTATAATTAAAGCTTAACTTAGAACTATTTTTTAAACATATTCGTTGCAAAATGGATTAAAATAAGTATTAAACTCACAAAATGTTAGTGTCCATAGACAATTGACGTAAATCAGCTGTCCAATTCGGTTCAAGTTGTTATAGGTGGCAGCACAGCGTCACGTGAATTTTCATGGCGCTGAAGGGCTAGACCCGATTTGTCTTGTGATTTCGCCAAATTATTAGCTGTTTTAAAGAATTATTATAAACAGCATTAATATTTAAGTCACAGGTGAGTACTGTAATATGTTAACTTGCGTAGTGTGCACGAAAATGCATTGAAATGTTATTACGCGCGACTTGAAACTCGAAAGTTAGTTGTGACCGTGAATGTAGGGTGGTTTCGGGGTGTGTTTTTGGGATAATGGGAGACCGGCGCCGGGATGTCTGAGCGCCAGGCGGGCGCCGACCATTCGTAGCGGATATTGATTCACTGCACGTCCCCGTCGCCTTACAATTTGTGGCAAAACATCAGATCGCCTCTTGCTCCCGAGACCTGAAGACTAGTTTTTTGTATTGTAAAATCGATTATTCCACCAAAGTAAACAATTTCTTTGTCGATAGACATGTAGTTGTGAGGTTTGTGTGTATTTTTAAGTGATTTCAATTAATTAATAGTGAGTGCTGATCTGATTCAGGAATATGTTTGTTTCAGTACCTAATATGTCTGAGTACTGGCTTATTAGCGCTCCAGGCGACAAGACCTGCCAACAGACATGGGACACCCTGAACAATGCCACCAAGTCTGGCAACCTCAGTGTCAACTATAAATTCCCTATCCCTGACCTTAAGGTAAGTGAAATATTCATATCTTATTTATATAGACCTATATACATGTATTTTAATATATAATTTACTTTAATATTTATATCCTGTACTTAAGGCTATGAATCTATTGTTTTATGTAATATTTCTTTTAAAATCAAGTTCAACAACATTAATTTCCACAGATAATTATATGTATTTATTTAAATAATTTAGAGACAAATTAATAAAAAAAATATGATTAATAATGAATATGAATAAAACTAGAATAAAAACAGTCTCATCACAATAAAATTATTATTTCTGTTAAATAATTATTAATATAATTTTTCATATCAACTATAACGAACTATAACAAAAATTAATGAAAATTGTTTATTAAAACTCATAAACACATATTTCCGAAGGCTTGGTAATATTTGATCAGACCTCAGAATTTAGCTCTATTTCTAGCCATATCTAGGAACAATCATTTTAACATTTCTATGCTTTTCTATTCTAAACAATAATATAATTATAAGTACAATAAAATCTATATTTAATTCCTGACTAAACAATTAAAGTGAGAATATTTATTGACTCATGATATCGTTAGTTACTTATGTTAAATATATAAATTATTATAATTTTTGCCTACACTTTTTTATATAATATAAATAAATATTCAAATATCTTCCAGGTGGGGACACTGGATCAGTTGGTTGGGCTGTCCGATGATCTTGGTAAGCTTGATGGCTTCGTTGAAAGTGTCACGAGAAAAGTGGCACAGTACCTTGGCGAGGTATGTATTATTTTATCTTTTTTTCAAATGTTATCTTTAGTGTGTCATAGATTATAAATAAATTTAATGAGTTAGCTACTGATGTGTGAATATAATTGATTTTGTAATAGAGTTTGTGGGTATATTAGTCTAATCCTATTGATTGAAGAAGAAGAAGAAGACAAAGAAGATTGCCTTGTAAGATGTGTTAGGGTTGAAGAATCTTTTTTTAATTCAATAATGTTGTACCCTAAAATAATTAGAAAACCTTATTAATGAAAATGTTAAACAATATTTTTATGCAAACCTACTTATGATACAGTGTTATCCAGTCGAAATGCTTGCTTTGTAAAAAATGGGAAAATTTTAATATTTATATTCTTATATATATATAAATAGATATATATCATTTATATTCTTATTATTCACTGAATAAATTACATTTTCATTGGAAGGGTGAGATTAGTCAGTGAAAATACAAAGTATGGAGTCATATATTAGTCTTCGAGAATGGCAATACATTAGGTGTGTTGCCATTGTGTTATAGGTACCACTGGCATAGTAACCGTAGCCGACATATACAAACAGTACCATGAACATAAATTCATCAGTGCCTGGTGGGTCAGGCAGGCCATTTGTTATTAAATCTAATTACAAAAATAGTAACTCAAGTTCTGTTAAATATTACAAAAGAAAATATTAAAAAAAAATTTGTGGTTACAAAATAAGATGGTAACTGAAATTACGTAAAATTAATTTTCATAAAGAAAATATTTATAAGAAATTAAAATGTCTATTGCGGTTTTAGTAGTGAAGCATTTTTTTTAGATTTTTTTTAATTTATAGGTACTCGAAGATCAACGTGATAAACTTCACGAGAACCTGATGGCAAACAACAGTAAGTACATAATTTTAATTTTATGTGTAATTTTTATTATACATGGCACTAAACATTCATTTGACATTTTTCAATAATATTTTTTATAAAAATATGCTGAGATTGAATTTTAATTTATTTAAATTGTTTAGTGCCATTCAATTTTTATAAATATAAATATTTAATGGAACATATAAATAGTTTTCCAGACGCAAGGAATCATTAAAAATGTTTTGAAGATAAATAACGATTTAAATATAATTTTGCATGATATTAAGGGAAGTTAGAGAAAAAAATATTATCAAGGCATGATATGAATCTTTCTAGAGGCAGACAATAGACTGCATTGCGAGTCTATGACTTTGCTAGCATGAAAGAACTAATTTTAATTAAGTACGTATAGAAATGGACTGATGTAGACATAAATGAAATTAAAAGCACAGAGTAGTGCGAAAAATTAAGCATGTGTCGCTCAATATCGGTGCTCTATTCAATTATCTATATTTTTTTTCTGTTCTTCCTCTAAGTTGTACTTTTTTGTTAACACGTTTATAAATATTTTGCATGTAATTTATTTATTAACTACACTATTGAATATACAAGTAAACAGGTTTTATTTTATTTTTATATTTTTTAATCTGTTGCAATTATACGATTGCACTGTATAAAAGAATGTTTATATTGTTTTTTTTTTATTTATATTCTATACAATCACACATTAACAGTCATTTATCTCACAGTAATCACAATTTTAATACACCCAGCACTAATTATGTACATATTATCACTTATGTATATAAAGTTAACGAATCTTTAATATCTTAACCATAATAGTGACGATGTAGTTTAAAAAAAATGAAGCGACTAAATATATAACCTCTTCCTTTTTTGAAGTAGATTTAAAAAAACATAGTAAGATTCGTTGACTACCTTTTCTTGTGTTTAAAGGCTAAGAATGTTGAGTGGACAGTGTTTTTCGAATGTTTTCTTTTTATTTAGATACGAGGTTCGTTGACTCTATGACTGTATCGAACCTTTGCACTTTGCATCTTATAAATGTGTGAAATGTAAATAGTTGTATACAAATGTAAATATAAAAATTATGTGTTGCATTATAGTTTAATAGGTTTCAAATTGGACACATTAATATCGTCGTGGCGATGAAATTTCGTATAAATATAAATTGAAGAATATATTACGTTTTAATTCATTTATTTTAATTTTATACTTATATATCTTTTCATCCAAATACCCTAATATTTTGTTACCAGTTCTGCACCGGGTTTGCTCGGATGCTCATGATCTTTATTACTTTTGCACCTACCTAGTACAATACTGGATTTACTCAAAAATTTTATTAAACCATAGACAGCAGGTCCATGCCTTTTTTATTTATCGTCTTTTCTGTTTTATGGTTTCGTGGTTCCTGCCTATTTTTTGTTAATTACAATTCATTAGTTAGAGATAGATTATATAATTTTATTCATAATATTCCATTCTACAATTATTCTAAATTTTTTTTTTATAGTAATGTCACATTAACCATTGAAAAAAGATACAGAAAATTAGAGTTTAATGCTAAAGTTTTGGAGGGGATTTTTCAAAGAATATATTGTTATTCCAGCTTTGTACTAGGTTTGTGACATCAAGAAATGAATGTGAGTGAATTTTTCAAATCGATGCAGTGGTTCCAGATTTTAAAAGAATACGTAATATATATATATATATATATATATATATGTAATCAATTATTTCCCCTGGTTGTTGCGGGTGCTAATGGCCGGCGGTAATCACTTACCATCAGATGAGCCGCATGCTCGTTTGTCCCCTATACTATTAAAAAATATACGTTTTTTTATAATACTTGTATAGATCGTCAGCATGTGTAAATAGTGACATGATACAAGGAACGGCACACGGCTTTGTTTGTTTTCTGTCATGAATTATATGTTCATATAAGTGACATGTGTTTAGAATTTAAACTGTATATATATTGAGATTGTTAGTATTTGGCGTTGCATTTCAGTGTCTGAGAAATGGAAAAAAGTTTGCGGAAGTGAGTAATATTCGTAGTGTATGTTAGCTTCAAGTTTATTGTGCTAGCTTATTTGTCGCTTATGAACCGCGAGAAATATATATAAGCTAACTAAGCTATTTATTTGTATGTATTATTTTATATGCGACATTAAAAGTGAAAATAGAGTATGATATCTTCAATAAGTTTGCGTTTATTATGTACTATATATATAATTATATAAACTAAATATAAAATAATAATACTAAATAGTAATAATACAAAATAAGACACCAAATAGTATATATACCAAGTCGAAATCCAGTGATTGTAGTTATTTAAAACTACAATCACTACATTTCGACTGAATAAATTTTCCCACTATGAAATTTTTAATAAGTATGCGTTTATTATGTACTTTATATATATAATAATCTAAATATAAAATAATAATAATACATAATAAATCACCAAACAGTGTACTAAGATGAAATCCAGATATTGTAGTTCTTCAAAACTACAATCACTGCATTTCGACTTGAACTTTACAAATTTTCCCACTATGAAATCTTTAATTAGTTTGCGTTTATTATATACATACTATATACATAGTAAACAAAAAAGAAAAATAATAAAATAAATAAATATGTGGTATATACATAAAATATTAGTCACCAATATGTATACCAAGTGGAAATCCAGTGTTTGTAGTTGTATAACTACACTTATTGGATTTCGACTTGAATACAACTGAACTCCCCAAGTAAAATAAAATTAAAATTGTTCAATCAATTGATCAACTTAAAGGTTTAGTTTCAAATTTCAACTGTATTACTTCGTGAGAATAGTTCAGTTTTAAATATTTGTTTTTATTATTGAAATTTCGACTTTACCTAGCTTGTAACTTGGTATATATTAAATATTGTAATTTCGACTTTATCTCACTTATGAATTGGTATATATTACAACTGCGCCTGTATAGATTTTATTTATTTCAGCATTATACTCTATTCGTTTTATATTTTCAATTACACAAGTTGGAAGTTCTAACTACGAAATTGTGACCGAGGTCATACGTCCTAATGTGACCAGACGACCCGTTTTGAACGGGACTGTCCCTTTTATGATTACGACTCCCGGTGTCCCCGAAGTGGCACCTGGGACGCGAAATTGTCCCGTTTTCGGAAACTGCGAAAAGTTGTGTAGTCGGCCGATTGTGAAGTTGATAAGGTGAATATAAAAAAACGTTGCAAGAGTGTCATTCTTACATAAAATCTTCACTAGCTATATTAAAGCAAATCAACATATTTACTTATATTTATCGGGTATATGTGTTTCATTCATAACTTTTAAGCTAACTTTTTAAATTTTTTTTCATTGACTTACTGTTAATCGACCTGTATGAAACGATGTCCCGTTTTGTGTCAAAGAATAAATGGTCACGTTATACTTAGCTGAATTAGGCACTAATTCATCCATCACTGAATAATATATCGTGTGAAATTGTTTTCTTTTTCAGTATTTATTTGTAGTTTACTATAATTATTCCGGTAATATATGTCGTCGGTTAAATATAGAAATCGCAGTATTCAAAATGTACATTTTTGTAAAGTTTTTTTTTTTAATTTATCTAAATTATTTTTTCTTTAAAGTTTTGAATTTACATATAAGTATTATATATCATTTTAAAAGTATTTAGATAATGATTAAGACGGCGTGGTTAATTTAATTGACTTATATAAAAGGAGGCAATTCTAGCTTCTAATTTTGAAAAATGTCATTTTTCTATTTAATGGACGATATATATATATATATATATATAGATATATCGAATTAGGTTTCCTTTCATTACTTAAAGGATTTATATGTATATTTTTGTATGGTTTATTATAAATCCTTTAAGTATTAATTAAATTTATATTATATTCTGTATTTATGTATATTTGTATAAATAGCAGTTAAACGGATGCATCTTAACGTGTAACAATAGTTAATAATAATAACCCTGGACAATTCACACAGCGCCATCTAGGTCCAACCTAAGCGGAGATTATCATATGGGTACTAAACAACTGATATAAATACAAACAAAATAGACATAGAAAACACCCAGACCGATACAAACAATCATACTCATGAATACAAATGTTTGTACCGTGCGGGCAATCGAACCCGCGATCATTGGTTGTAAAGCGGTGTGCTAAACCGCTAGACCATAGAGGCCGTCAATATATATATACCTCGGTGATATATAAATTATTTAGGTAGTTGTGTATATTAGTAGAAATATCTGTTACACTGTTACAATGATTTTAAATTTATTACAATATTACAAATTAAATGACATCATTTAATTTGTAATATTGTTTCCGCACTTTGAATGAATGAATATCATTCAGGATGTAATTATATAGCTCTAGATTTGTAATGAGTATTAAATATTGTTTGATTCGCATTTTCTTTTATTTAAGTCACTTATATTATTGAATACAAACTAGATTTGAACTTTAGTACTTACTTAATTAGGACTATATCTGTTTGTGTTTGTTTACTAGCGGATGACATTTTTTACCGTTCAGATAAAGTTAAAATCTATACCCTATACAGTCAACCCTCCTATAACGCGGTGAGTGCGTACCGCGTTGTATGGAAACCGCGCTATAAGAAACTCGGATTTAACCGTACAAACCAGGCTAATTCGTAGCGCGTTCTATGGAAACCGTCTATCGCGTTGTATGGAAACTGCGCTATAAGAGACTCAGAATTACAAATCACATCATTCGTACCGCGTTATATGGAGACCAATAAATACAAAAGACAAGATAAATTATAAATTATTTTTATTGAATTGAAGAGTATGAACTCTTCAATTCAATAAAAATAAGGCAATGATGAAAAAAATGAAACAAAAACTAAACTAAAAAACTGTTTTCCAACAAAAACAAAAGAAAGACTTTTGTAAAATGATGTAATCTTTCAACACTCATCCTCACTGTCAGATATATAA